TCTTTTCTTAATGGAAGTGTTTTATACGTATTCTGAAATTAGTATTGAACATGTCAGGTTATTAGGAGTGTTTATTTTATCCACCTTCCTCAGATATCAAGCAAACCTAGGATCATGAGACCTGCTGTAAGATCTTTGAAGAGATTGCAACTTCTATTATGTATTTCTTGTATCTACACAGTCTAAACAGTATGTCAATATGACAGTGCCCAACAAATAACATGTTCTTACAAAATGTCTCTTTTCTAATTTGAGCTGAAACATATAGTTTTGTTTAACACTATTGAGTCAGTACGCAATTCACAAATTACACCTGATTTTGAAAGGGGATATAATAGCTACATACTACTCAAGACGCTTTATTTATTTGTTAAATGTATATGAGTCTTTAAATATTTAAGGTGTTTAAGGTGATATCCTTTATTATGCACTTATACTAGGTACCTAATCATCTTCCACACTACTGGCTTTATTTCCTGCCTACATTTTCCACACATGAGGTGTAATGAGGTAATTCCTAATCAGTCCTTGATCTACCTTAACTGTTTCGTGATTTGATATTGTGAATTGTCCTTCATTTATATATGATTTAAAAAAAAACCAAAACCCTCTGTGTCTGAAAATCTGGTGTAAGGCCCAATTAAGGTCCTCTCCCCCCAAAAAGACACATAAATTATTTTTCATTTTCTAATAAAGAGAATAATAAATATTACTACAAATAATACAAGAATTGTGGCTGGCTTTTTAAAACAATGAATCAGATAAATTCTTAGACTTCCAGAACTGTATTTCTTCCACCTTCATGTTTCTATTGGCTGCCTACTGCTAGCTTTAGAACAGGGCAAGACTTTGACTCTTGAGCCATTAGTTCTGTATATAGAACAGCATCTGTAAATCAAAAAAGATGCACAATTTTGCCTTATCTATATCCCCCTACTCAAAACCTTCCTTTCTATACAAACCCTTCATGTGAATGTTTGCCTTTTTTTTTTAGAATTTCTCATTTATCTTGTGGAGTTGGGTAGAAATAATATAGCAGCTTGATAGAAGTTGCTTTATGGAAGTGGCAGAAAATGGGAGTCCTGAAGGACTGGTGATTTAGAAGAACTTGGTAAACTGAACTTTCCATGAAAATGGTGCTACATGTTTTGCTGTCAATGTCTGTGACCTCAGAAGTCGTTTCCATCTCAAACGATTATGGGCCAAACAATGTGACATTTTACTGAGGGATTTTCACTGACAGTTTCATTTGATTGAGGAGTCCCAAATCTGATCCTGTTTTATTAATTTCCATTTATCATGATCTAATTTATTACTTTTGTCTCCTAAAAATAAAGACTTGGTGTCATTGATATTTCACGAATGTGATTAGTTTGAAAGATGACATTTGTATCATATACAAGGGGAAAAAAAAAGATTCCTGAAGTTTTGCAGGAAGAACTGTCAATAATGAAATCAAAGCATATAGTAATCACAATTTAAAGTTGCATCAAAAATTTAAGAAAGAAGATACAAAGGAAGAGGTATGTCTACCTGTTTATTTACAGCTAATTTGTCTGGTCTTTAGGGAAAAATTAGTACAAGGCTTGAGTATGTGTCTGGATTTGTAACAAGAGATTTTGAGGGCCTGATCACTGTACACTTCACTTGCCAACCAGCAATATGGTTCTTCATCCAAAAAACAGCTCTTTACCTTTTTTTTCCTAGCGTTCAGAGTTTGATAACCAAGAGGTGCCTCATGATTATCTAAGTGCATGCAAAATGTCTTTTTACCTCTGCCTATATGTTATACTGCTGTTTTAAGACTGTCTTTATTGAAAGTCACTGAACATGAACAGGAAATGCTAGTTTCTTCTTTCACCTTGAAACTTTGGGCAAGAAGAAATAGTAATGATAGCAAGAAATATCTTCATGAGTCCTGAAATGTCTTATATTTTCAGGAGTCCAAGGTTTTATAACAAACAAACACAGACTCCAAAACACATTCAGAAATGCTGAAGTCATAGTGAACAAAGCCAATGGCAAGGCTGAGCTGCGCTTCAGTCTTCTGTGGCTTTTGAACAGCCAGAGCAATACTGAGACTCTAAGACTCATCCCTGTGTGACTCTTGCACCTAGACCTTTTCTTCTCACTTGGATAAGAGCGTCCGTCAAACCTGGTTCCATGCTGGCTGGTTGGCAAAATCTTGACTACACTAAAGAGCTGCTGCATGAGGAAGAGGAGATTTGCCCTTCCTCTGAGCTCTCTGAGCCCTGCCTCAGTACTGCAGCGCCAGGGGGGACTGTTCCCCCTTGCAACGCAGGAGCTTCCAGTAAGGCCCACAGCAATGACCGTGATGTGAGCTTTTTGGTCACTCCTTCTCCTGTTTTTGCTTTGAGTACTAATGGGAAATAGAAAAAGCTCAACCAGTATGAACAGCCTAGTCCCGCTATGGCCAGTTTTCGCTCCCTCCTAACCTTCCAACGTCAACATCCTACCTAACCACAACCTCACAAAACCACCTCAGTCCATAGGAACTATTATTTTAGCTTTTCTCATACCAGCAGCACACGAATGTCTACACAGCTGAGCTGCAGACATATCTGCCCTGCTCACACCAATGCCTAACTTGCCTGCTTCTTTGAAGCTGACAGCACAGAACTACGGTGTGTGGAGGAGCACTTACTAAACCTGATGTCTGAGAAGGCTGTTGGTAGTTTATATACTTATTTTGCTAATTCTTGTTCTCCTTTTCCCATCTCTGCATTAATTGAAGCTTTACTCTCCCTCCTTTCAGCAGACCAAGGCTTTTCTCTGGATATACTCTACAGTCTGTGTTTTCCTTCCTTACTCTAACTCTATTTTTCCAAGTACACTGAAACATGTCTTCAGGATTTTCAGTTCTTCGCTTGATTATTACTAGGTTTATCCTCTTTAATGGAAGAATGATCTTGACAGTATTGAATTCACCAAGCAAAAAGCTCCAGTGTCCAACACCTAACTTACAGCAGCTGGGGAATTATACACATAGAGATATAAAATATCCTGCTGTTTGTTAATAAAATAGATTTTTGGAGTACAGATAGCACTGTAATGTTGACAGTCTGCCTTCTGCAGCAGACTTTAGTTCAGTTACCCTTCTCTTAATTGTTTTCCCATTCCTTCAGTAATTACCTTATTTTGCAGAAGACAGCATGCTTTCAGAAATGAAAATGTTAGCAGAAATTTGGCTTGGTCTGCTTGAAGATAGCCATTTAACCTCTGCACAAACTAGAGGGTTGTGAAGTAGCAGCAACTTTGCCTCATCCTTTCGAACAGAAATGTCTCCACTTCAGCAAGGAGGTAAGTGAAAAAATCCTGCTAGGAAAAAGGTACGGCACAAGCTTGTAGTCAGAAATCTCCATCTCAATTTACTTCCGAAAGAGGAAACTTAAAATCAACTAACTTTCCTGGGCAATAATTTATTTGGAGATTTTTTTTTTGATTTTTGATTGTAGTCTTAAAGGAGTGTGCGAATTTATAGTCACAATCACACCAAATTGAAAGAGAATTTCATTCTACTCTGTTCCAGCACAGTTTGCTTTGGCAAAATAAATGCCAAATGTGGCGTTTTCAGGAAGAAGGAGATTACACAGTGCTTCTAGTTGTCCCTGCGTGTGACGGGAGGTACTGCTGAGGGACCTGAGTGGCCTGTGCCACCACGGTGGGGCTGAAGCACGTTGAAGCAGTGCTACAAGCAGGGAGGCAAGTGAAACTTGTAGCGTCACTCTGAGCCTCCCTTTTGAACCACCTGCCTCCCCGAGGTGGGAGCAGTGCAAACCACGGCTGCGCCTGGGTAATAAATTTATTAAAAAGTTCTCCCTCCTTCTTAGAGCCGAGGGGTTCCTGGTGCTTCCTGGGCCGTGAGGTGACGGCGCCCGCAGCGCTGCGAGGGGCGAGGGCGGCACCGCGGACCGGGCAGCCCCTCCC